GGACTCCAAGCTCCTGAGACCTGGCAAGGCTGGAGGAGCTCATAGGTGAGACCAAGTTAGTTTTGTTTCTATAAGATGTATTTTGTGAAGAGCAAAGCACTGGAAAGGGGCTGCTAGTAGGAAGTCTTCCACATCTCTGAGGGGTCACCCCTGAGGAGCTCGTGGCCCTCAGGCTGTGGGAGGATGTCCTGGAGCAGCCTTATCTCTGGGGATGAGGTCCAAGAGCACAGAGGTGATGGAAATTTGGTGGTGTGGCTTTGGTCCTTGTGGGTGCAGGAGGAGGCAGAAAACCAAGGAGGTCAGGAGGAAGAATGTGAGCGCTGGGAGACATGAGGAATGACTAAGAGAGCTAAATTTACAGAGTCTGGGAAAAGGAAGGCTCAGGGGCAACGTGGTCATGGGCTAAAAATACCTTCAAGGTAACAAGTATAAATGAAGAAAGGGAATTACACGTGGTCTCAGAGGAGGTGAGGGCAGGAGATGGAGCTGGAGGCTGGTGATGGAAACGTGGAGAGCAGAGATGGGTAAGGAGACCTGGTCAGTTGGGAATTTGCCAGGGGAAGGGTCTATGTGAGGCTGAGTGGGGCAATGGTAAAAAGGTGACAGGGGAAAAGGGGTGGGCACCACTCCCTGGCGACCAAGGGGCTTATTTTCAGCTTTGTGGGTGCTCTGAGTGTAACCCAGTTTAACTCAAGAGAATTCACCCCAACTTTGCTTTTTTCCACTTGCTTCTCCTTCCACATACCCAGTCAAGTTGCTGTTCTTTCCAGAAACTGGTTTTCCTTACAGTGAGGCCTCCACAGCACAAATTAATATTAAACCTCAACAATTTTTATCACTCTTAGGAAGGAGGAATATAAAGTCCCTAGTTTAGAATGGAGTGAGTGTGTCTCCCTTCCAGCTTAATTCAATGTAACTTAGAGAGATTTCTGTTCATACAGTCAGACACTTCCAGCTGCACCTCAAGCTGATCTCATACAGCAGGATTTGTCCTGGCTTTTTCTGGAACAGCCTCCAAGGAGGTCGGTGCTGTCTAAGAACAGGACAGGAAGATGGATGGTAGTACAGAAATTTTGCATCCAATAAATATGTAATATAAAATAAGCAGCTCTGTCAGCAGCAGGATGAAGGAAGCCTGGCTTCTTATCAGCGTGTTGCTTGCAAATTCTGATTGAAGATTTTTAGTTGCAGGGAGGGGTGGCCTCCTCATGGGCATCTTTTCCTGTGCCTAGTAAAGATGAGAATACAGTTTAGAATCTGCTTTGGAGGGAGAGGGAGGAATCATTGGGGAGTCTTTGTCTATTTAGGCTTCTAATTTTAAAGAAAATTAAGCTGTACCCAAATCTCCCCATCCCAAATGCTGAAGCCTTCACTGAGCACTGCCTTCTGTTCTAGCCAGAAGTGTGCATCCCCCTGTCATATTCACCTTTCTCCTTTGGAAACCTGTAGATTTTTCCATTTGTGCGTATGAATTATCTTTCTCACAGTTTTTCCCCCCCCTGTGGGCTCCACTTGATTCTGAAGAACCATCACCCTCCTGGTTGAGTTCCTTGTATGAACCAGCCTCTCTTGGGTCAGGGCTGCCTGTTTTGAACCCAAAAATGGTTTGGCATGTGTTGGAAAGAGTCCCTTTTAGCCAAGCGAGTAAGACACATGAATAATCAATAGTCATGGGCTCTTGGAGGCTGTTTTCTGCTCAGAGAAGAGGATGAGGTGGTGGGAGGAGAGGGGTAACTGAAGCAGAAGGAGATGGGGGGACACTGGGTGCAGAAAGACCGAGCTGTTCATGTCTTTTCCCTTGGCAGGTTAGTGTTGCTGGGATGTTGCAGCATCCTGTACAAGAGGAGGTAAAACCATCTGCTTTAGGGTTTGAAAATAGCTCTGGAAGAAAGCTGTGAGTGACAAAACCCGGGCTACGGGTAGCACAGTTCACACAAACCACCAGCTGGGTGGGGATGGAGAAAGGGCTCTGGTTAAATGTTTCAAGCAGAAATGTATCCCTGGAGTCATTCTACATGTTTCTCACCAGTCACTTCTTACTATGTCTTAAAAATTGCCAGGGGACAGAGCATGGACTTGCTGTATCTTAACATGGATTGATGGATTTCACCCTACCTCCAGGGTCTAAGCTATCTGCCATGGTGTTTGTGTTCTGAAGCCATCACTAGTGTTGAAAGCAAAGGACTGACTCAGTATTCTGTTTGTTTGTGGAGACATAATGTCCTTGGATCAGATAAAAGCACCTTCCCCCTACTGTTTTTATATACCTCATTAATTCCCAGTGTTAATGGCTGTGTCCTGTCTTCTGCCACCCAGCAGAAGTGACAACACAACTGACTTCATTTCCAAAATTACCTGCTGCAGGCTCCGTGCAGGACATCACAGCTCGATTAGTGTTTGTGTTCCAGTTGTTCCCAAGAGACTGCTGCTCCTCTCAGGGCCACAACTCACCAGGCACTGTGCAGACTGGAGCAAGGGAGAGCTCCTGTGATCTGCTGGAGTGGCGTGTGGGGGAGGAAAATGGAAAGCCACGTGCTTGGGGTCTCTGTCATGTGCTTCTGAACACTCAACTACAACTTGCAGTGCCAACTCAAGGAATATTATCCGTAGAGAAGGAGTTAGAGATGCCTTGAGAGTCCAAGGTGAAGAAAAAGAAGGGGTGAGTCTAGAGCAGATCTCCACCCCCAGTTTGAGGCCTTTTCCACCTCCCAAGGACTGCTCTGTTTACATAAGTAGGCAATCCTTGATGCCACTTGCTTACAAGACCTTGCTCGTCTTTGAGGTTTTGCCTCCCTCCCAAGTGATGCATCAATCCCTGGCAGTGCCTACAACCACACTGTGTCTTTCCTCAGCCCATCCATGCCTTGGGAAGGGTGAAATCCCACCCCTTACCTTCCCCACTCCTGATTTTTGGTGCTCTCAGAGATACAAGATACCCAAAGCAGTGCTGCAGTGAGACATTGCAAATGACCAACTAATTAGGCAAAGAGGAATGTATTGACTTTAGATTCTTCTTTAGGGCTCACAGACTATATTAGTAATCTTGAATTTGTTAATTGAAAATTGCTTCCTCTGTTTGTTGTTGGCCTTTTTATGGAGGGGGATATTTCCTGCTTTGGGACTGCGTCACTGGATCTATAATAATGCACTTTGTACATTAGCGCCAGGCACATTTGTAATTGGCCACCCTATTAAAGAACACTAATGATCTTACAAGTGTTCACAAATAATGAATAGAATGGCCCCTCATTGAATTGAGTAATTTATTCGCTGACATAGTTGCAGATCTGTTTTTCCAGTATTTAACCCAGCTTTAGTTTTCTGCCTGCCTTGCAGAGATGGCTTCTCTTTCAGCCATGTGTTGGAGAGAATATGGGTCACAGGAATCACAGAGTTCATAAAAAATGTAGGGCTTCTCCTTGCTGGCTGTTCTCTTAACATTCATGGTAGGGTTTGGGGAGTGAATGGCAGCAGCTTTAATCTCAACTCTCCTCTTGTCCATTAGTTGTCAGTGGGATTGTCCTGATGAATTAGGAGAGGATCAAAAAGCCGGGACTTGAGAAGCGCACTCTGGAAGGTTATGTTGATTTTTCTCATTTAAATATGGATTTCAGGAAAAGCTGGCAACAATACAGGGTGTCAGGATTGGTTTACCAACTGCTGACTCTGCTAGAGAGGGAATGAAACACAACCCTGGGTGGTTCCTGCAGCCAGGAAGCTGGGGGCAACCATTTTGCTGCTTCTCCATGAATATTGTGTTGAGGTATTTGTGATGAAAGGAGCAGCCCATCTGAGTTTGTAATTCAATTTATGGACAAAAAGATCTTGTCCTAAAGCCTTGTTTACTTACAAAGAACATGCAGAAAGTGTGCAGTTCAGAAACTATCTGGGGTTTGTTGGGTTGTAGGGGATAGAAAAGTCACTGCATAGGAACTGATGATCCTGGGTTTGATTTTATTTGATAGCAGGTCTTCCCATTGCACTGCAATGAAGACTTTCCATGGAGGATAACTGTGTGGGGCAGGTACCTCTGCCCTATCTCAGGCTTCTGCAGCCTATTTCTCTTCTCCTGAGTCCTGTGAAGGTGGGAAGGTCAGAAGGAAGTATTGCTTGGGGCAGAACCAGCCATGGGGAGGCAATGGTGCAGCTGGACCACAAGCAGTGGGGTGTTAAGGAGGTGATTTGGGTCAGCACATCTGGAGGTGGACATTCCATGCTGAGAGCTTGGTCCCTGGGCAACTCAGTGACCCCACCCCATCACGGTGGGGTTTCAGGGCATAAAGGAAGCCGAAATTAGGTTTCCAAGTCCTAAGGTGGTAGGTTGAACCTTCAGGAAGCTTGGAGAAAGGGAATGACTTTGCACACAGGGATTCGTGGTGAGGGTGAGCACGTGAGTGTCCATGTGGAGATGGGATACGGTTTGGGTCCTTCCCGGGAAGCTGCAGCAATGTCTGCACCCGCTGCCAGGGGGGGCCATGTCGAACCCATGGGGACGGACATCCCATGGGCAGGGTGCTGCCCAGCCCTTCCCCTGGGGCTCTTGCAGAAGGAACCCACTCCTTGGTGGTTTGGGGAGAGATGCCAGAGCCTGGCTTGGGAAGGGGACGCTGGACATTCTGTTGGGGGCAGGGGGAAGATGCCCTTGATTTGAGAGGGGGATGCAGGATGGGGGAACAACTCCTTTGGGGAAACAATGCCAGATCCCGATTTTCTTGGTGGGGAACGGCCGGAGCCTCTTTTTCTTCTTTTGGCTTGGGGGAGGTGGGTGTAAACCCAGGTGGCAAACCCAGATTTTTGGGGAGGGGGTGGGGAAGCGGGAGAGGCTGCCGCCGGCGGGGATGCCAAGGGTTAAGGGGGCGGGCGGCGGCGGGGCGGCGCTGGCGGAGCCGATTGCAGCGGCTCCTGCGGCTTCGGCTGCGCCGGGCGCGGAGCAGCGGCGGGGAGCGCGGGCGGAGCCCCGCCGGAGCCCCGCCGCCCCCTGGCCCCGCCGCCCTCCCGCCGCCGCCACCATGGTGCAGAAATCCCGCAACGGAGGCGTCTACCCCGGCCCCGCCGCGGAGAAGAAGCTCAAGGTGGGCTTCGTGGGGCTGGACCCGGGCGCCCCGGACTCCAGCCGGGACGGAGCGCTGCTCATCGCCGGCTCCGAGAGCTCCAAGAGGGGCAGCATCCTCAGCAAGCCCCGCTCCGGGGTCTCGGGCAGCGGGAAGCCCCCGAAAAGGAATGCTTTTTACCGCAAGCTGCAGAATTTCCTCTACAATGTGCTGGAGAGACCGCGGGGATGGGCTTTCATTTACCACGCATACGTGTGAGTAAAAAAGGGTGGGGGGCAAACCTGATGGCAGAGACTCCCCTCGGGTTCGGTCTGCCCTCCTCCACCCCTCCCAGCCCCCCAAATGCGCCGAGGAGGGAGGATGCTCCAGCTGCAGAGCGGGTGCGGGGAGGGGATGCCGGGTGCCAGGGCTGGCTGGGGAGCCCCGGGGGATGCTGCGGGGGGCGGAGGCTGAGCCTCTCTCCCCCTCCAGAGCAATAGGGCCGCCGGGCCGGGCCACCGCTGCATCCCGCATCCCGCATCCCTCGCCCCAGCCCAGGCGGTGCTCGGAGACGGGGCGGGAGGCGGCGATGGCCATGCGGGGAAGGGGGTGGAGGGGGAGAAGGTGCCCCTGCAGAGCTGGCGGGTGACTTCTCGGAAAGGTGCGATGCACCGGCCCCTGTTCCCCCCTGCTCGCTCCTGCTTGCGGGGGAAGGGGCTGCTCATGCGGTCGGTGCAGGGGGTTGGAGCAGCGGGAGTGACGGGTAGCGACTGTTCCTCCGTCTTGCTTGAAATCACCATAGCAATGCTGAGAGCAGAGGAACAAAAAGCTCTGCTCAGGCACTGTCTCTCCTCCCCCCCACCCCCCAGCATCCTTTCTCCTCCCCGGCCCCATCTTTGCCTGTTGGGTGGCTGCGGAGGGTTTGGGGCTGGGTTTGGTTCTGGGGCTCTGCTCAGGGTTCTGGAGGTATTTCTTGTCCCCCCGTGGGAAGCGGCTGAATTGGAGATGTGTCTAGAAAGAAATGCTAATCAGTGTCTAGGGCTCCCTGCCTGCACAGCGCCCAGCGGTAAACAAAGGAGCATCCCTGGGTGCACATCCCGCCCCTGGCACCGGGTTTTAGGCAGAAATGGCCCAGTTGACCCGCGTTTGGCAGAAGGATGCCCATCTCTGAGGCACTGCTGCATAGGAGGGCAGATGACTTCCCGTTGTTCCCAGGACTGCAAAGGGTCAAGATAAATTGCTGTGTTACTGCAACTCCCTTCCCTCTGGGACTTTCCACAGTCCCACCAGGCTCTTCTGCAGGCCTGGGCTCAGGCTGTGGTGCTCATGCCCTCGGTGTCAGTGGTTGGTTTGGTATTTTTTGTTTCTGTGTTTTTCATCATGGCCAGGGCCTCTGTCAGCCCCGGCAGGAGGGTTTTTGGGCCCCGCCATCCTTTTGGTGTTAGGTTACTGTAAGATAAGGAGTTGGGATGTGCTTTCTGGTCCTCAGCCATTTTGTACATTGAGGCCTTCCAGGGATGTGTTGGTGGGACCAGTCGGAGAGGTGAGATCCTGGCTGGGTGGGAAGGGGAGCTTTTCCTTGCACTGCAGCAAGTTGAGGTCCCTGGGGGAATCTTGTGCCCCAAGGGAAATGGGAGAGGAGAACAGAGAGCATCTGTGGAGCTCAGTTGCAGTTACGATGAGGAGTCCAGTGCTGGGCATCCTGAGCATCCTTCATGCTCCTGGCCATCCTCTGGAGGTGGTTTATGTCACAAAACCTTCCAGAATCGTGTGGAGGGGCCGAGCATCCACGCTGTGAGCTGGGAGCTTCCCTGTGCCAGGGATGGGGATGTTGTGCAACGTGCCCTGTACGCTGTGAAATACAGGTGAGAGCCCAGACTGGGACACTGGGGTGGCAGTGCCAGAAATGGAAGGGACTGAAAACCCAATGACAAGCGGCAGGGGTAGCCCTGACTGTAAGAGCTTTATAAACAACTTAGGCTTCTTCAGCTACTGTATCTTAACTTCTGACCTGATTGGCTCTCTGCAGTGGCATTTGCTTGGGCAGCCAGGAGTGCTCCCAGGGCAGGAGCAGGGTCACCCCAAACAGACCTGTTCCCAGTGCCAGGCTGGGGTGCCCATCGGTTCTCCCAGCCCAAGCAGCTGTGTTTCTTCTGGGCTCGTGGCTCTACTTGAATCTGCTGTGATACCACATGGAACCATTGAAAACCATCCCCACCTATGCACCTGCTGGGAAAGGAAGGCTGAATTCAGGGCTGAAATGGTAATTGCACCAACGTCTGTGAAGCATTAGAGATATAATTATTTTTTTTTTATGGTGTACTGGGAAGTTATATGGATTCTGGTCTTCTGAACTGTACATACGATAGGTTTAGCCTTGGTAGTTTCTGTTTCGTTATTTAAAGAGCTGAAGGATTTGGAAAAGTTCCCACAAAGTCCCCAGGACAAGCTCATGCAGCAGTTACCAGCCCTTGCTGAGGCCAGCATGGCCTGTGTCGGGTCTGTGAGTGTTGGAATGGGGCAGGGAGGGGCTTTCCTGGGTTTCTGTAGCTGGAAGTCTGTAATCCAGACAGGCAGGACAGATAAAAAGCTTAGTGGCTGCATATTTGAAGATATGAGAGGATGGTGAGACTGGCTCAAGGTCATAAAGTTTGTATGGAAGAGCTGGAACCAGCCCGATGTCCCGATGGCCGGTGCAGTGCCCTACCTGTGCTATTGGGGTCACTCTGTCTGCTCCTGCCCCAAACCCCATTTTGTGCCAAAGCCTTGAGCACAAAAGCACCTTTAGCCTCCATGCTGCAGGAATGGGAGTCCTGAAAAAGGCTGTGCATGAGGGTGCCCTGTTCTGCTACTCTCTGGGGCTCAGTCAGACCCCAGGTCCCCACTCCGACCCCTATCTGCCAGCACCCCTATTTCACTGCTCCTGCTGCTCACAAGGACTTTCTTACAGGAGGCTTTAGGAGCTATTTCCAGTGTGAATGAATTTGTGACACTGCAAGGTTGGGTTTTTAGCTTGTAGAGATGCTTATAGACCCAGCCGCGTTTCTCGGTGTGGAGCTGCTCCGGGGCCACTGTGCTGCTCAGGCTGCTCCCTGCACCCAGTGCCAGGACACAAACTGCAGGGACTCTCCCAGCATGAAGATGCTTTAATAAATATGAGAGGTGTCTCTGGGTCAGTAAAAATGCCTGTCTGCAGAGACCCATCTCCCGGGTTGGTTCTGCACCAATTGATCGATGCTCTGCCTTGAGATACCCGTGCAGGTTGTATTTGTTTCCAGTGCTGCATCCCAGATCCAATCCATCTGATTTCATTCCTCCACCTCTTCCTGCTGTCACTCATTCTCCTCCTCACCATTTCATGCATAAGGAACCAGGGAAATTCAAACCAGGGAAACTCCCCCAATCCCCCCCCACCCCCAACCCCAAACTCATTAATGTGGTCTCATCTCAAATGTTGCCTCTCTAAAAGGGCTGTTACCTCTGTGAGCAAAAGCACAGTTTTATGTTTCTGTGTTAGGATTCATTTTTGTACCTAATAGCTCTTCCCACACTGACACAACTGGGTGACTTGCTCATGGGTGCTGTGTGTATACAGATCATATGTAATATATATTTTGCATTACCCCATGGACAGCTGAGCCTGGTGGGCCCCATTTTTGAGCGTGGCTGGAGGTGGACTCTGGTTCCCCTATCTCATTATCTGCTATTTCTCTCATCATCTTTCTTTTCTATTCCTCCCTCCTGTTTTTGTTTTGTTTTGTTTTGCTTTTGGGTGTGTCTTTTTTGTTTGTTTTTTTTTGTTCGTTTTGTTTTTTTGGAGGGGTTTGGTTTTTTCTTTGTTTGTTTTGTGTGGGTTTTTGTCTTCTTTTTTTTTTTTTTTTCTTTTTTTTTTGGCAGATCCTTAACGATGCAGCACGTGGCCTCATTCTGTTAAAGGCTGAGCTGAAACTTGAAAAGTTGAGCTGTACCTAAATAGCAGACCAGGATTTTTGAGATGCAGCAGCACTCACTCAGATCTTGAGGCAGTTTTGTGCACAAGGAAGCATTTGGCTTCCAAAATGATTTAATTTTATTTCTTTGAATAATCTAAGTTTTTATTTTTCCCTCCTTCTAGCCCTTTTACCTTGGTTACTTTAACCTGTCCTGTGCTCAGAGGTGCTGAGTTGGAAGGACTGCAATACTGGAAAGTGATTTTTCATCCCTACCTGCCATTTTATTTCAGGAGGGATCACTGTGTTCTGTGCCAGTCTAAGCAAGGTACTTGCAGTGGGCACCTCCATAGCCTGATGTGTCTGGAAGCCCATTTGCTGATCCGTGGGTGAGCTGCTCATGTTTGGTCTCTGGAGAGGAGGGGACTGGATTTGGGGCAGTGGCAGAAAAACAGACTGCATCAGGCACTTTTAAAGCTGTGTGCTCAGGAACCCACATAATTCTTGCATTTCCTACTTAGAATTTACAACCCTAGTGCGCCTTTTTAACTGTGTTAAAAATAGTTTGGGTGCATTTTTTATCTGCATACTGTGCACCATACATTCAGTTAATTAAGCAAGTGCACGGACTTAAATTATAATAAGGAAGAACATTTCCTCCCTGTCTAATTCTCTTAAAATTTCATTATACCATCCCCATCCCGTTTGTTCTTCTCTTTTAACCCAGTCACAAGCCACCTCTCTCTCCAGAGAGTCTCCTGCCTGTGCTGCATCCTGGCATGGCCACAGCTGGCACGGTGGGACGCAGTTGCTTCCCTGGAGGTCCAGGGTTTCTCAGTGCAGGGGTGGCCTCTTTTGTTCCTCCTCCCTCTCCTCAGGGACTGACGAGGACGTGGTTGTTTCGCGCAGATCCGTTCCCAGATGATCTCTGACATCAGAACTTTGGGGTAAATGCAGTTTGGCATTCTCAGTTATCCACCTCCAAACTCGGAGGAGTGGCGGTTCATGGCAAGCCCTCACCTGCAGAGAGGGTTATTGCAGGCAGGCACAACGGCACCAAACTCAGCCCATCCACCAGTCACGTACAGGGACCTCCTGGATCCTCCTTCCCACCTCCTAGCTGAGTCCTTGGGATGAAGGAGCCAGTGCGGATCTCCCACAGGTGCTGAGCTTAGTGGATGTGCTGGGCTTTGACCTCCAGCGCTGGTGCCCTCCTGAGGTGTGGCTGTGTCCTCCTGAGGGGCCAGGGAGACCTTCGCAGTGTGAAGCCTCACGAGCTCCTCTCCAGCTTAGTCAGAGCTTGGTGGGAGCAACCTGATTTCAGTCGCTTTAATGTGTCACGTTCC